CGGGAAAAGTAACACGGATACTGAAAGCGTTGGATCTAAAGTAATTTTTCAAGCAAGCCCCGAAAAAATGATGATTTTTTCAGCAATTTGGGCAACAACGCGACTGGAACTGGAAAAATCCTGTACTTTTTTGCGTTTTCTTGAATTTTTCATTGTCCGAAAGTTGGGTTCTTAGGCGAAACATCATCAAAACTCTCATTTAGGTAAATTGCCGCTGTTTATGGACAGGACAATGTGATTTTTTACGCTTCAATATGGCAAAACGTCTGCAATTTTTGTTTTTACGCTAATTTCAAAAGTCTGTTTTTTTAAATGGCAGACGTTTTGTCATGTTTATTTTGGCCTCCTCAGGGCAACTTTCCGGTGTCCCCGTAAGACGTTTTTTCTATTAAGAATCTCTGAACCTGAGATGAAAAATCTGAATCAAAGCGATGAAATAATTCGGCAAAATACGGCGATTCAGGTAAAATGGAGCATGCAATTGTTGGCAATATTCTGCACAGTTCCGTGGCCTAAATGCTTCATGCTTGATGGACACTGAATATTTTGCAAATTGACTCGATTATGCTTATTAAAACATGTCCCTGAGTTGCCAGCAATGCGGCTTATTTACCCAGTTGACTAATCTAGCGTGATTTTATTAAGCCTAGGATTTATAAATTAGTATCGAACTAGCAGATTTATGGAAGATGATTTGGCCAATCCTGGGCTTTACACTGGCAAAGCATGCAGGATATCCTGCAGTAAACGATAACGGGGTATTAAAATCCCTTCCTAATGTATTAAAATGTTGAATAGTTCGCTGAAAAACATGACTAAACAAAACAGCCGAACAATGCGCAGGTTAATCATAAAACCCAGGCTACATGGGGAAATTTTATTGTCATCTTTGGCCTCATAAATGTTCTAAAGTAAACTCGTGTTATCAAACGTGATTGTTCCAAAATCCCTTATTTGGGATTTAAATTGCCCTTCATAGCATTAAGAACAATTAGGCGAAACGGTTTTGGCTTAAACAAACAGCCCATATCGGTTTTGGTATGAGGCAATGTTTCAATAAATATCAATTTGTGTAACCGGTTAGGGTCAATTGCATGTTCGCCTTTAGCCTGAATTGTGTGCCAGAAATTCCAGTGGAGAAAACGAGCTTCTGAAGACGCACATTCCGTCCACAGATTCCACGAATAATTTTCGTAATTCTGAAAATTGTTTATATTTTTATTAATTCGGAAAATATGCGCGTTTGTATTGGATGCTAATTGACGCTAATAAGACTAACAAACTGGGAAGCATGTGCTAATATCCAATTTATCATTTTTGAATGCTCGCTAGTGATGTGGGACTAATTAGGAACTATTATGGCATTTATTTTCTCATTGCTGATGAGGATTGCAGAGCGGTTTACCCTCGCCGCAGTACTTCGGTTGTTGAATACAAGAATGTTGAATGAGACGAAAAATTCAGCAGTTAAGCTACTAATTCAAATGTCCCACACATACAAGGCTTAAACGTAAATTAAATTGATTATCTTTTAACGTTACCTTTCCGAATAAAAGCCCAAACTTGTCACGTTTTCACTTGGTCGCTGGCTGCAACGGTATCCGACCACAGGTAGTTTGTCGGAAGGTGTTACCACATACAACTGCAAGAACTCGCGGATGAATGTGTCCGATAAAAATGCTGGGAAAGGACCAAACGAATGGCGTCCAAGTGAAAAAAGCTAGCAGGCAACAATTAGGCGCCGATCATCTGCGATTTGACAAAATTCTTCATTTAGAAATTGAAGACTATCTGGCAGTAAATCGGATGTCGCTACCCGCTCGAACTTTGCTTCGAACTGGCTACTTTTTCTTTTTAATCTCCCTGGTACTGGATCTCAACGTTGCCACGTTTAGTTTGCCTTTTCCCAGCCGCCCAGTACCAGTCGAATGGGGTGGGTTTGCACGGAAACCCTTCCCGGAAGGTGACCTACCTGGTATCATGGAGAATTTTTGCTCAATGATTCATTTGCTTGGTTGGCTGCTGAGAGCTTAATCTCAACATCAGAAGAGATGTCAGAAGGCCATCGTTTGAACAATCGGAGATTTTGGCAGTTTTTTATGTCGTCTCGGGTTGGAATTTGGTCCTAACGGTTCACTAACACACATGCCTATCATCTTCAGAGGCTTTTTCGCGCCCGAACACACCTCTGAAGATGGTAGCAAAGCGTTAGGGCCAAAGAAAAACCGCAATTCTCCGATTGTTCAAACGATGGCCTCGAAAAGGTTTAACATTCCTCCCGATGTTGAGATTTGGTGTCAGAAGTGAGTCAAAGAACAGAAAAAAATTGACGAGTTTTCTTGTGAAATCGATCTCTTAACTTTTTTGCATCAAAGATTCAGTTTGTCAGTATTTTACAGTAAAACGTTAGGCAAAACGCGGTTTTTCTGTTTAGAGACAGTGTTGTTTAGACCTAAAAGGGAAGAAACCCCAGTTTCCAAGAGTTTTCCAAGTAAATGATTATAAACTTTCGCATTTTCAGTTCGGGGAAATATTTTTGGAAAAAGACCCAGAGTTAATTATTAGGATTTTGTCCATAATTCGAAGCTGCAAAAAGTTTTCCAAACATTTTTGCAATGCGGTTACGGAGGCGATTGTTCCAACGAAATCTATCTTACAATTTTTTACAGAAAATAGCTGAAAATTGTCATTATTTTAACTAAATAATAATGCGATTTTTGCGTAGAAAGAATTGCTTGATAGCAACTTTGTTAAAACTGGACTGACTTGAAAATTTAAAGAAACTTTTGGTAAACTCTTGCTCCCTGGCCGTTTTTTCGAGATAATCTTCATTACTTTCGGTCAAAAACTGCATAAAATTATTTGGTTTTTGTCCCAAATTCGAAGCTGAAAAGGGTTTTCTAAAGTTCCCTGAAAATCCGATGAATGAGGCGAATTTTCTAGCAAAATTAATTTTGTAATTTTTGGCTAATGGGGTCTTTTTAGTCATTGTCATTGTCAGATAAGAAGGAAATCATCAGAAAATAATGTTTTTTGCGTTTTCGATTAAAAATTTTTAGTTTTGTGATCGGTTTTCGAGAAAACCTTAACGGTTTTCGGGGAAAAACGGGAGGAATTTGCCTTCGTTTTTATCTCGCATTCGACGCTAAAAAAAGTTTTTGTAAAATGTTTGCAAAGCTATGAATTTTCTCGTAATTTTTCGCGTAAAAGACCTCCAGATTGTCAGTATTTTTAAGTGAAACTCTACGCAATAGCGCGTTTTTGAGTAGAAAGTAAAGCAATAAAAAATTGAGTTAAACCAAAAAAAACACATTTTTTTAACAAACTCGACAGTCTTTAGAGGAATTGAGGTGACGAGATTTCCAAATAATCTGTTATAAACTTTCGCTTATTCTGTTCGTTTTTTAATAGAAAATGATTTGATTTTTGTTCCAAATCGACGCTGGAAAGGGATTTCAAAACTTTGTACAAAGCGACCAAGAATTCGAACTTTATTTCATAATTTTTCACGGAAAATACGTTAAGTTTGGCAACATTTTTAAGTGAAACTTTCAAAAATATTATTAATAAATGGCCCTTAAAATAAATCTAAAAACAAGTAGAAAAGTTGTAGATAAGTTCTATATTGTTGAAGCGGATTCATTTTTTACAAACTTCTTTTTGGGTATTTCGCATCAAAAACTTTTGTCTTTAAAAAAGACAAAATTTCCTCACGTCTTTTATTACAGATTGATAAATAGTGCTCCTATTTCGCAATAAGAACGAATTATTTAGCAAAAAGTAATCAAGAACTATCACCTAGAGGGTATCCTGCGACACACTTAGGCTTAAAAGCTTAGCACTTAAAATTCCAATTAGTAGAGAAATTAATTTGAAAAATTACCTTGACGTTTCGATAGTTATTTTCTGCTATCGTTATCAAAAGAACCTAAATGAACCTAAAAAAGAGTACGAGTTCTTATTGCGAAATAGGAGCACTATTTATCAATCTGTAATAAAAGACGTGAGTAAATTCTGTCAAAAAAAATTTTTGAGGCGAAATACCCAAAAAGATGTTTGTAAAAAAGTAGAAAAAAGTCATCAACATTTTCCCAGCAACGAAACTGAGTTACTCTGCCGGTGCGTTGGGTTGGCGCACCAAGCAATTTGCGTAGCACTGCGCCAACTCCTAAAAATTCACTGAGTTTTTCAGGCCTAAAGCAAATGAATAATTGAAAAAAAATGGGAATTAACCGAAGGTGGAGATTCCAGGAAAACCGACGGAACCAACCACTTTTCAAAGGCGGTTGAAACCAAAGTCTTCGACTATGAGGGGTTCAGGGACGAAAAAGCCTCTGAAGAGGGTAGACATATGTGCTGGTGAAACGTCAGGACCAAATTCCTGTCCCGCAAATTTCCAACTGTTCATCAGTAGATTTTTTTCCCAAATTAGTCTCTCAATTCTTGTTCTAAATAAAGACAATCAACGGCTTAACGATTCTCTTGAAATTCTGCAAGCCGACAACAATGGTTCGTTTCGTGGTATTCTCTCGGACTTTGCGTCTTTCTTCAATACACGGAAACCGGTTTTTGTTTCCCTCTTTTGGGACCACCTCATTCAACAGCCTGGTAACTTCAACATTCTCTCGTCTGCACTAAACAAAGAAGAGTCCAAAGATGTAATACCAGGTAGATTTCGTGAGGGTGTACACGCTTGATTCACATAATTGTATTTGCCATACTGGCAGAGGAATTTACGGTGTCATAAAAGGGCTTTTTGAGCGAATAAGACACACGTGGCAACTCGCCTCAATCAATGTTCACCAGAAGATGTCGAAGACTCGATTAGTATTCAGCGCATATTTAAAATTCAAAGGATATTGAACTTCTTGCTAGTTCAATACGGCGACACTTTGGAATACCTACAACCTGCCATCTGAATTTACAGTGATCAAGATGCTCAACGCATATTAATTATTCTGTGCATGGTATGCTCAGAGCAGTCGGAAGAGACCATCAGTTTTTTAAGCTAGATTTGAGCCACCCAGTGGCATTTTTATGCAGTTGAAAACATTTCGGGGTTCCGGAAGCTCATGATCGAAAGGAAACGATCCTACCTAATTTTTATTGAGAAAAAATGTAAAAAAAGGATCATACGGTTGATTTCAATGAAACGCGCTGCGAATTTGTTCCCAGGTACGACTCATGGTTTGATGAAGCAACCGAGTGTTTGCGCTTTGAGCAAGTGAGGAATTTTTGAGTGTTTTGGTACAAAAAGTATTAAAACTTTTTTTTTGAGTTGATGCACTAATTCTCTTTGTTGTCTGTAAACTTTGCGCAAAAAATGTTTCTGTTTTGTTGCCAAATGTTCAGACTGATACAAAGAATATCGCAGTGTCCTTTGATCATATGCTTACAGTTTTATGAAGAATTGGGTTCCTAATACCATATATCACGCACACGCTAAGAACCCATCCTTGAATGTTGTTGACCCAGAATTAATTCATTATTGATCTCCTTCGCTATGTATAACTTTGTCCATATTTGTCAAATCCATTATTATAATTTAGCGCACGATTTCGGTCAGCCTATCATCAGGAACTCGGGCCGTATATTCGCAACCTTCCGGACTGATAGTACGGCATACCTTTGGAAAGTGGTAGCTGTTTTCCATTAAGTGCCACTTGCATAGATAAAATATCGAAATTTTCATTAATATTGGCAGGCGTCGAGCCGGTGGTTCAGTGGCGAAAAGTTGTGCGTCGACACTTTTCTCGTTGGTGCGATGCAAGATCGTTTTCTAAGAAAGCTGAGGTGAAGAATTGTGAAACTGGAGCCTGGCCGAASGTTGAAACGAAAGTTTCGAGTGGATYAGTTAAGAAGTAACATGAAGTTGAAGACGAAACTGTTTCGCCGAATGGTGCCAAGGAAGAAGGATTTTTGTTGCTTGTTTATGCGGTACAGGTAAAGTGCGATTTTAGCGCCCAAAT